AAAGTGTTTTCAAAGACATTGCAAGCACACAACTGAACATAAGTCTATAGTCTTGGCCAATAAATAGGCTCATTTAGCTGGGGTGGACTTCTTGTTGGTTCATTTGAAATAGGGATGGCAATGGGATGTGACTGAGAAGGCCATTACCATCCCTCGTCTCGTAAGAATTTTTTGGCGGCGGGGCAAGGTGGGGATTAAAGATCCCCAATTAATGTCCCTTTTAATTATTTAATTTTTAATATTATTTTTATTTTTAAATACAATTTAAACTAAAAAATATAAAAATAAAATAAAATAAAAAAGATGTTGGTTCGAGGAATTTGAGATCCCTAGAAGCTTGGCATGGGATAATATTTTTTTAGTTCGCACATATTTCATATCCATGTTTGGACCTTTGAAGAGTTCATTTCCCTGGAAGATAGTATGACAATATAAATTACCTCCTTGGGTGGCATTTTTATTGTAGACGGTTGTGAGGAGACAGGCCGTTAACGATGAATAATTTTCGAAGAAAAGGTTTTTATGTTATCGAGTTGTGTTATGTGTAAGAGGGATGAGGAGATGATTGACCACTTGTTCATTCATTGTGATGGTGTTTGTTGGCTGTGGAACGATATTCTGGCTTTTCAACATATAGATTTGGTGTTCTCTAGGTGTATAGAAGACTTGTTGCGGGCATGGAGGAGAAAACTTCGTGATGAGGATCGTAAGCTTGTATAGGATCTTATTCCGAGATGCATTGTATGGTGTGTGTGGAGAAAAAGGAACAATCGCTGTTTTGAAGACCAAACATGGACAACAAAGCAGATCAGAGATGTTTTATCTAACTTTATATACTTGGTTTAATGCCGCGGCTACTAAGTACTAATCATATAGAAGAGCAGCCTAATTTTATGTCGTTTCTTTCTTGTTTAAATTGATAATACAGTTCTCGTGTATTATCTTTTGATTAATAAAATTATCTGATTACCTATCAAAAAAATTTTGAAGCTCATTACGCTCCCATTTGAGCCTCATTATAATGAGATTGAGCCAATTTTTTTGCTGCCACTATGGGCCTGCATTGATTGCTGGTGTAGGTAAGTTTGAGCAAATAATTGTCTTCACTTGACTTTTGAAGTACTAATGGCAGGTCTATAATTTGGCATTCCATCTTACCCTCAAGTACGTCGGTGATGGAAAATAATGTTCAACTATGAATGTCTAGAAATTTTTGGGAACAGAATTATGAAAGTGAGGGTGTAATGGTCCATCAATTTTAAGTGGCATCTATAAAAAATCTCTCATCTTACGAATGTACTGTGCCATCGGAATTTTTTAATGCCCAAGTTACTGCTGAAAAATGTGAATTTTCATTTTAATGAGATTCAAACAGG